CAAACACTGCGTGGAGGCTCCAGGCACGATTCCCCTGGGCCGGAGCTGGGAGCCGAGACTTTGCGATGGGGTCTTTTGAGAGCTGGGGCCTGCTTGAGGCAGATGCAACCATGAAAATACCTACCGGGGAGGGAGGGACCAGGGGTGCTAAGGGATGCTTCGGCTGCCCATGCAAATTCCTGACCAGGGTTATTTAAAGCAATTTCACACATCTCAGTGTAATGGTTTCCATGGGTTTGGCTGAGTCAGGTACCAAGAGACAATCTTCCCTTTCCCATTGCTTTGGTTAGAAAAACTGGTCTTAGAAGAGCAATGTGACAGGATGCTGAGGCCCCACTGTTTGCTTCAAAAGATCCCAGCCCTGGACCTGTCTCTTTGTGAAGTCAACAAGAATCTCTCTCTTCATGGAGGATGGACCAGGTCCTTGAAGATCCCCAGCACATTGCACACCATCCTCTCTTTGCAAAATGCTGATGATAAGTGGGATTCCCAGAGAGCTGACGTGGCTTGGGGCCTGTCCCGCTGACTTCAGATTGGACTTGTGCTCCCAGGGCCATTCAGTGCTTTACAAACTCCTCCATAGCCCCCCAAGAGCACGAAGCCTAATGCTATTGTAGGGTGGGAACCTGCCTTGTGATGGAAGTCACTGTTTCCACGACTGCTGCGAGATGTTTGGTGGACCAGAGACCTCTCCAGGATACAGCTTTTTAGCTCGGTCACCTCTCCTTCTGCTCACTTCTGCCACTGGGATGGCTCCCGGTATCCCTCTGTATCTTTAGCCCCTTCTCTGAACATCGTCCTGCAGTGACTTGTATCTTGAGGTGATCTCAGCAGCACAGCGTGCTGCTCAGGAAAGCTGTTGCTTGTTGTGAGCCTGACTCCTCCTTTTGGGATCTCACTTAAATGTCAGTGGATGCACATGTGGTGTCATACGCCGCAGGATTTCTGGAAACCAGGGAGTCGCCTAGGGGCTGGCCCACCGTAAGTAAGAGTAGGGACCAGCTAGCAGGCAGATTTCTACATCGTTGCCAGGTAGAAAGTGCTGATTTCTGGCCATGTGTCTCTAGACATTTCTAAGGGTCCGGGGAAGCGAGGGAGCGAGAGACCGAGTGCTCTGGAAAGTACTCAAGAACTTTTCACCCGTCGGCTTTTGCATTGGTCTCTGTAAATCCTGACCCCTTTCGGTGGCATTTGTGTCAGCTCTCATGAGCTAGGCAGACCTGGCCTTGTCCCTGCTTGAATGGGAGACCTCCCAGGAAAGTCCAGCTTCCTGTGCACGCTGACAGCCAAAAGGGGCTGCTGGACCTGGGCAGGAACAGACTCCTTGGCTGTGGGGCAGAGCCGGCTGGTCCAGTCCCACAGCTTCCAGCGCGTGGCATGAGCATCCCCACCCAGGGGCAATCCCCGGCTCCTAGGGCAGTCTCCAGGCAGCCGGGGGCAAACCAGGGTGCCCTAACGCTGCTTTATTTGCCACCGGGGCAGAGAAGGAAAGGAGAGGTGCCTAAAGCCACTGTTGTTCTGCACCTGTTCTGCTCAGGTGCCCCTGAGATGTGGGTCCCCAGAGCGATGCAGGGGAGGTCCCTTCTGTCTCCAGGTCAGTCCTCAATCCCTGTCTCTTAAGTGGTGTTAAAATGGACTGCATTGCTAGAAGTGGGTGGCCCATCAAACCAGCCCCTGGCTTTTCTGTAGGCAATGGCAAATGCCCTGTCCTGGATTCCCTGCTCCCAGGGATCGCAGGGATCCCCACTCGCCCCCACTCCTACTCAGGCAGGATCTAGCCAACGTCTAAATCTCATGTTCATCAAGCCACTAGGAAACCACTGGAAGGTGGACGTGGGGCTTTCTTGTTCCTGTTCTCTCTCAATACACTGTGAAGCAGCAATGACTGGCTCTTCAGAAGTCTCTCACACTGCCGTAGACGGGGCGGGCATCTCTGGGCAGGCTGTCCCAGCAGTGGGCACTGTTTGGAGGGTGAGGACTGGATTTCCTTAGCAGACACTCAGGACTGGCTAATGGGGACACGAACTGAGGACCTGGCTTGTACAAGTGCAGAAAAGCCGTTCAAGGGGACAGGTCTCTCCTGCCACGTTCCCCTCAGCACGGGACCAGGGGGGAAGGTGTGAGGGTGGCTACAGCCATTCCCATGCTTCCAGGGGGCAAGTTTGGCTGTTGGTGCCAATGATACCACCCATAGCACTGGCAGGCCTTGCTCGGGCTCAGGACATCTCTTAGGTAGCTGGGGAATGCAGGCACAGCCCTGCCTGTCCCCACACTTGGTTGGTACAAAGTCGGGGTCTTAAGGATGTAGCCTGGAGCTAGATCCGGTTTGTGGAACCACATCGTTCAGCCCCCAGTGCTGGCCTCATGCGGGGTCAGTCCAGGACCCCCCCGCATGGTGTACCCAGCACCGGAGGCTCCTGCTCCGGCTGGTCTGGGGCTGCGCCTCATGCAGCACCCACCCTGGGTGGACTGGGACATGAGACATGTGGCCCCCAGCCCAGGACCTGTGCTGCACACAGCTTCTGCCCTGGACCAGCTGGAGTGGGCACTGTGTGCATCCTGATCCAGCTCGAGCAGGCGTCACGTGCGGCACAGGCTGGAGCAGGTGGCGTGGGCACTGGATCTAGCATGCACGGGGAGCGGGGGAGCTGGTGGGTGCGATCTGACCTGTGCAGCCAGCTCCACATCATTCATCTAGCCTGTGCACCAGTCCCATGGTAGTGAGGTGAGTTTTGTCAAGCCATCAGAGCACTCTCTCTCTCTCAGCCCCTAGTATAAAGTGTCTGCAACAGCCCTGAGCCAGCAGCGTGCCCCTCTGCCACGGTCAGTTTTGCAAGCCCTCCCGGAGCGGGAATTGTGCGAATGGCTTCAACACGTGCTGGTGCACAGCCTGTGAGCTCCCAGGAAGTTGCTGCTATTTCCTAAGATGGGCGCCTGGCCTCACAACCGTGCAGGGAGCTCTGCGGGGTAGGGAACGCTGGCCTGAATGGGGGCCAGGACCTGCAATATTTCAGCCCCCGTGATAACAAGGAAGAGCAGCTTGTTCCCTCTCCTGTCTCTCTGCTCCCGTCTCCCTGCATGCTGCACCACACTGCTGCACCGCAGAGCTGCCCTCTGGACAGCAATCCTAGGGAGCTCCTGAACTGTAATAATGACAGGCAGAGAAACAGGGCTCAGTCTGGTGTGCCTGCGTTGAATTTTCTAACCGCTTCTCCCTGCCAGGCTCAACAGCCCATCACACAGTGCTTCCCAACCTTTCCAAACTCCAGGCAGCCCTCAGTAGACTTGAGGGGCCCTTTGGAAAATGCCCTCTTTTTGTTTCCACTCATTTTTTGACCACACAAAAGTACTAGAGCAACTCTTTTATTGCAGAGAACTCAGAGAGCCCACAGCAGGGCAGGGGTTAACAGTACAGATTCCCATTTGAACTCTCTGGACTTGTCTTGTGAATCCTATTTGTACCCCTAACAGTGCTAACACTGCATGGCACCCTTGAAAAGATCTCAAGGCACCCCAGGGTGCTGCGGTTGAGAATTGCAGCTTCCTTGAAACAGGCTGCAGCAAGCTGTGTTGTGCCTGCCTGATGCACCATCGGCACGACAGCCATGTTCGAACCAGGCACATCTCCCGGCAGTGATGCCGGAGCAAAGCAGGAGGGAGGCTGCCTGGATTTCAAAAGCTGGGCTGTGTTGGCAGCACTGGTGCTGAGTGAAATCTGGCCAAGGCTGGGGAAAGGGTGCGACTCTGCTCTGGAGGTAATGGAAGCAGCATTACTGTTAAGGAAGGGGCCCTTTCCTGGCAACAGCCGTACCGCAGGGGACCGCAGGCATGCTGCCGCAGAGATGGCCGACTTTATCCTGGGCTTTATTACCTGCTGTTTCTGACCCCCACATAATTTTCCTAAACAGGCCTCATGCCTCTTGACTCGACTGTCAGAATCAAGGCAATTTCCCAAAGGTAGTTATCATCCAGAAGAGGAGGTTTATCCTCAATAGCTGCGTTTAATATTCTAACAGAGATAACAGCAGGAGGGAGCTGTAATCAGCTTTGTAGGTGAAACTGGTGTGGCTCAGCTTTGAACCCTGTCGGTATAGAAAGACACCCACACGGTCTTTCTGCTCAGCACACGGTGCCGCAGGGTGCCTAGGAAAGGACTGCACGTGCAGTCACAGTGCAATCAAATGTGGCCCTTTGTTTTTCGGGGCAACGTTCAGAAAAGAGGAAGAGAAGGAATGAATAAAGACATCCGAGCTATGTTTGCAGATGATCTACCTCAATCCTAGAGGCAAACTGCTTTCAAAGCCTTCCCTCCTGAGGAGTGCCTCTCATCATAGCTCCTTCTGTCCTCCCAACAGGATGCTGCCTTTCACTAAATGCATTCTGGGTATGTCTACATGTGCATTTCAGCACGCCTCAATTTAATGCACATTACCTTAATGTGCATTAAGCGAGTTTAGGCAGGCATCTGCACATGCAGGCATTAAAACTCATAATGCTGTGTCCGGACTGACTTGGGACTAAAGTTAGTTAATTTGGTATGTTACGGTGTTAATGCGCTTTAATGTGTCTACATGTGCATTCATGTGCTTTAACTATTCACACCTAAATTTGATACCTGCATTTGCAGGTATCAAATTTAGGCGCGATTAGCCCCAAATTGCCATTTTGAAAGCACATTAAGAGTGCACACGAGTAGACGCGCACCCTAATGCACCTTAAATTTAGGCTAATTCGCCTTAAAGCATCTCATGTGGATGCACCCTCTGGGAAGGAAAGACCCAGGAAAACAATTTCTGGCTGAGCTTGTTCTGGACTCCTGACATCACCTTTATTCTGCTTGTCACCATCACTTCTTTTGCAATATTGGTCTCTTGCCTAGGAGGTATACTGGAGCTGCTCCTCGTACGCTAAGTTATGTGGATCTGAAGACCAGGCCTCTGGGGCTGGGCAGTCTCATGCCTGATGCAGCATGTCAGGGCACCACTGCCGAAGCCTCTTACCTTCGGATGTCTGCAGGACCAAGGTCTTGCTGTATTGGCTCACTCCTGTTTTGTTAAAGGCTTTGACACGGGCGCTGTAGGTGCTGTTGAAGTGCAGGCCGTCCACGGTGCACATCGTCTCCTTCCCAACATACACCTCCTAGTTAAGACACAAAAGGCTGCGTTAGTGCCTGATGCATGGGGCATATCCAGGTACAGGAGGGCCTTGCTCAGACAGCTTGCTACACAGTATTTCCACAGCTTCCTGACACATAGGCATGCTAGTTAGACACCTTTTTGTCAGGCCAAAGTGTCTGGGTGGATGCTGGGAGGGCTGGAGGAACCTGGGGACCCCAGCTACAGCTGCAGCTGGAGTGACAGGGGGCCTGGTATATTATATACTGGAGTGTGAGAGCCTGGGGGGGGGAACCCTCAAATTAACCCCTCACAGGCTGGATACAACCCAGCCCTGTGCTAAATCATAATGGTCCATCTGGATAAAATGACCCTGCATCCTGCTTCTGAGCTCTGACAGCTTGCCACGCGACACCAGTTCCTCCATGGCACCGGCACAGAAGCCTTGATGTTTGTAGGCAGGCAAGGTTTCTCTTCAAGTAAACCTCCCACTGAATCCAGAGGAGTTTTGCTGATGTACCCTGGTACAGAAACTGGTTGCTGGCCTCTAAATTGAACGAAGGTCACTTATCAGAGACCTATACTGGAAAATATTTCCTTATCAGCTCAGACTGTGGGACCAATGCTTTGATGAGAAGACAAAGATTGGATCCTTTTATGGATCTAGAGCTGACTGGCCAACATGTCAGACTTATGCCAACATAATGCCATTCAGATGAACAGAGCTACAAGAGCATAAAAAGCAGATGTGAATCAGCCCCAAAGACTAGTGAAATGGTCAGGGACTCTGTCAGCGATCAGGTTCGCTTTTGAGTTGTGGAGGATGTGATGAAGGGCCTGCTTGCTTTCGTCCAGGATCTTAGGGAGAGGTTTTAGCTCTGTGCTTCCTTGCAAATACCTTCCACTCTTTTTTTGTACCCAAGAATCCTTTTTGCATTTCTGTCGCGGGTTGCAGAGTACAGCGGTGCATCTGATCAAACAGCCCCCGCTTAAACATAGCTGCTGCTTTCAGGCCAACGCACGCACTTCCATCCTGCAGGGATGGAGCTGCGAGGCTCCCTTGGGATAATGTCCTTAGGCATCAAAAACAAAAGGCAGGGTAAATTTGCAAAGTGTGCGGGTGTGTGTGTATATATGCATGTATGTATAAGTGTATGTGTGCGTGTATGTATACATATATAGGACAAGCTTTCATGAGCTAAAGTTCACTTCATCTAATGCTAACGATGCTTGTGAGATATATATGTTTATTATACATGCAGTCTATAAAATATATATATATAATCTACTTTGCTTAGTCTGTAAGGTGCAGATATACCTTGCCTTCTACTTGCCTTCCCACTAACACAGCTAACTATGACTCTATGCTCATGGATAAAAAAAGAACAGAGATTTCTGTTTTTAATTTTTGCCCCTGAATCCTGAGCAAATTGACTCAGCTGACAGTGATGCCGGGAGTTATATACATTACAGTTCTCCTTCAGAGCACGCACCCACCAGTGGTGAGAAGTGCAATTTGAGCTGTGAAGCAAATGCACCGAACAAATGCCGTGAAAGGTGACAGGCAGACAAGGTTCTTTGGGTGAATCTGGTATCTTTTATTCGACCAACTTAAATAGTTGGAAAACAATTTAAATAGTTGGAAAGGTGAAATGCACCTAGCACTGGGTTCCAGGAAAGGTTTCATGATTATCTCCTCGTGCCTTTGAGCTCTTGTGGACTGAGGGCATGTGGCTGTCTCACATAGCCAGTAGCGTAACTAGGGTGGGCACTTGTGATATCAGCCCCAGGTGCCAATTCTGCGGAGGCACAAGAATAGCTGCCATTGCCACCACTGCCAGGCCTCTGCCCTGGCCACTGTCCCCCCTGGTACAGAAACTGGTTGTTGTCCTCTAGGTGATGTACCAGTTCCCCCTTCCCAAATCCTTTATTGTCTAGTCCCCATCAAACAAGAGATCTGCCTTATTCTATATAGAAAACAAATAGCACGGGGCAACTTCCTGTCTCTCTTGCTCTCTGTTAATAAAGGGACAAACCTGAATCTAAACACTTGGTCGCACTCTGCTCTTCTTCGCATCGGTTTGTTCTTGGCCATGTTAGGACTGCACTGTTTGACTTTGTTGAGAGACAACCTAATAAACGATGCGTGAAGACATCCTGGGGCTGGGAGTGACGCCCCGTGATCTAATAACCCTTGGTGTTGTTGCTCCATTGGAAAGTAGGCTAGGAGTGGCCTAGTTTTTCATTTCATTTTCAGCAAGGCTAAAATGATCATCTGTAACAAAGCCCCAAAAGGAAGAGCAAGGGCTCCTCTGTTACATACAGTGTCTGTGAGTAATGCATGCAAGCAGCTTTGCACTCTCAGCTTGGCTGTATGCTGAGCTGCTCCTATGCACAAACAGTGCCGGTGGAGATGCCTGTGGGAGGAGATGTGGGAGTAATGGCTCCATGCACAGATGAGTAACACAACAATGCCTAGCGAGCATGTGAGGAGGAAGGCATTAGAGACTCTGGCAAACATTACCCTTTCTTTTTTGCAACTGCAGCTGAAATCCAGCATAGCCCTGAGCCAGAACATGGACCAGGCTGTTGGACAAATCATCTACGTGACACTACGGGCCACCTAAATGCCTTCTCAAGATGTGACCCCAGGGCTTGGCAACCACTGGGTGATTTGGTTTGACAAGTGGCTTACAGCATTTTGGCATCATTTGGACTGCCTTGTTGATATGCTGCATCATGCAGTGCAAGGGTCTAAAATACATGGGCTCACTGAACCCTACTGCATCCATCTGCATGGTTATCAGGACACTCAGTGTCCTGCTGGAGCTGGGGAAGACAAAGGCATCTCTATATCACCCTTTGGCTTCCTGCTCTTCCATCTAGCCACAGTGCACATGATCATTGCCGCAGGAGCAACCTAATTTACATCCGCTGGAGCAGACCTTTCTGATCCATTCTGCCGGCCTGGGATCCCGGCCTGGACCCCCGCAAGGCAGAAGGCAAGAATCGGTGGCTAGAGCCAGGCGTAGAGACTTCAAGGCACCAGGGTTTCTCCTGTGGCATAGCTTTAGGTTCCCTTCTCTACTACTGAAGCAATGCAAATGGGATTGAGCCCAGCAGATCTGGCCCTATTTATGCAGTAACGCTAGGAGCTATGGCTTGCAGAGCTGTGTGTAGTAAAAAGGGTGAGCACATGGCAGGAGGAAGCAAGCAGGATGGGGGAAGGGGATTGG